AGCTGCTGATGTACACATGGATATTAGGTGTCAGGACAAACTGGCATTCAGGCATGCATGACTTTAGGACAGGGTTATTTGGCAAAGTTCCAGTTCTCTTTCAGCTATTAACAGAATTACTGGAAGGTATTTCTGAAATGGCCTAGAGACTCTATTCTATTGAACACAGTTTGTTTGGGATAAATAGTGGTGGAAAAATTGTCCGGTTGCTGGTTTCCTAGATGTAACGGGTTGGTCACTTCAGGAAACAGCATGTTGGTCCAGATGGATTTTGATTCTGATTCAGCAGAATCAGAACTCTCGCCATCACATTCCATTAGTAGTTTGTTCACATAAAAAGGAGGACATGATTTGTTGTTGTTTAGTCGTTAAGTCATGTCCGATTCTTTGTGATCCCATGGACCAGAGCACGCCAGGCCCTCCCGTCTTCCACTGCCTCCTGGAGTTCAGTCAAATTCATGTAGGTACCTTCGATGACACTGTCCAGCTATCTTAACCTCTGTCGTCCCCTTCTCCTCTTGCCTTCACACTTTCTCAACATCAGGGTCTTTTCCAGAGAGTCTTCTCTTCTCATGAGATGGCCGAAGTATTGGAGCCTCAGCTTCAGGCTCTGTCCTTCCAGTGAGCACTCAGGGTTGATTTCCTTCAGAATTTATAGTTTTTTTTCTCCTTGCAATCCAGGTGACTCTCAAGAGTCTCCTCCAGCACCACAATTCAAAAGCATTAATTCTTCGGTGGTCAGCCTTCTTTATAGTCCAGTTCTCACTTCCATACATCGCTACAGGAAAAACCATAGCTTTGACTATGCAGACTTTTGTCGGCAATATGATGTCTCTGCTTTTTAAGATGCTGTCAAGGTTTGTCATCGCTTTCCTCCCAAGAAGTAGGCATTTTTGAATTTTGTGGCTGCTGTCACCATCTATAGTGATAATGGAGCCCAAGAAACAAAAATCTGTTACTGTCTCCATATCATCTCCTTTCTATTTGCCAGGAGGTGATGGGACTCAAGGTTTGTCATCGCTTTCCTCCCAAGAAGTAGGCATTTTTTAATTTTGTGGCTGCTGTCACCATCTATAGTGATAATGGAGCCCAAGAAACAAAAATCTGTTACTGTCTCCATATCATCTCCTTTCTATTTGCCAGGAGGTGATGGGACCAGTGGCTATGATCTTGGTT